ATGTTGTCTTAAAGATATTAAATATTCTATTCCTGCCTGCCATTACATTTGAACAATATGAATTTTTATCTGGGTTGCAACTATAGCCAGGAGACATCATTGTTTCATCTTATTTGTTGCCCATGCTGTTCCCTGAGAAGCATAAGGAAATGAGTAGAAGCAGCAGCACAAGTGAGCTAATATTTCTCGGACAGCTTTAAATCAAGTACTTCCGAGACACTCCTACCCAAATCTGTGACTAAATACTCTCTTCAAGTAACTTTTGAAGTAAATTTTTGTAGCTTTCATTTCTTTAAACAAAACCCTAGAAAGGTTGCAGACCCTGGCTAACCAGCACAACTGGCATCAGACATGGAAAGGCTGAGCAAACCCTCCTGGCAGTGGAGGAGGGCTGCTGACCCTGGAGCCAGGGCTGGGGGCCAGGGTGCACCTGTGGCAAAGGGGAGCAAAGGTCCCAGCTCCTGCTCCGTGCTCCCTGCCCCAGGTGGGAGACCCCAGTTTCAAGCAGCAGGAGCAGACATCTGGGCACGACGAGACTGTTCTGCAAGGCCACCTGGTTTTTAGGGCTATGCTGTGGACATACACTTAATCCCGAGCTCTTTTTCTAATGATACTTGCCAACATCTGTTAAACCATCTGTAAAATGGGGGCAGGGCACCTGCTTGTCTTTCAAGATATGTTTATAAGGCCAAGGTCCAGGGAAGGGCTGTAAAACCTACCAGCTTTTGGTGGGCATAAGGGAGCTCCTGGATTTCCCTGGAGAGCATCTTTCCCACAAGCTCAAATGGATGGGGAAGCAGAACAGTATGGGCATCAATTTTTCTCTCGCCTGCTTTTCTGACAATGTATGTGAGCTTGGGAAGTAAATTAAGGACTAAGGAAAGGTTCAGACATTTAAAGAAAAAATCCTTTACAAATCCTACCCCTATGTAAGCAATGACTGTTTAAGATTTATGAACTGACCAATGCATCAGGCTTTTTCACAGTGTTCGTAATAGCACTCAATATTATCCCTGTAGCAAATCTTAAATCTTTACCCAGTACCACAGAGGCATCACAGTTCTACAAAACGACCTGCTTTTAAAATGAGCAAGAAAATAATTTCAGGAAATGGCAAAGACCCTTTAATTCTTTTTTACCTTTAAAATAAAGTAGTCTAACATGACAATAAAACAAAAAATGAACTTGAGGCAAAGATTATGCCACCCAATTGAGAACTAGCCCAATTACACGGGGCTGGTGTATATTAGAAAACATATCATTTTGTAACCTTAAGTAAAAGCTATGCATATGTCTGCAAAATACAAAATACAGATTGGAGTGTTATTCATCTTATTCCAAAATGAGAGTGGGAAAGGTACATCACTCACAGATATCACAACTAAGTGAGCTAGTCTCAAAGAAAGTCAGAAGAGTATGTACACGTCAGTACATCACATCCTGAAACTGTGCCACTCTTAGTACATGAAAAATGTCATTTTATGAAAGTTTTAGACAGGTTTCAGAATGTACAATTTTTTCTATCCCTGTAAAAATAACAGATATGTTAGTGTCTTCATCATCATGAGGCCAATGCTTCTAAACTGAAGAAAAAGCTCTTAAAAAGTCTAGTAGGACAGCATGGGAGTATGGGGGGGATTTCTAAATGTCCAGATTTTATGATGTGTTGTCTTAAGTCCTTAGGAAGGGACAGTTTTGAGGCCATACTTGCCTCCTGTCCCAGTGAACGAATTTGGTATCCCACTCTGTGCCTCGCAGCGGGGGCCCTGTGCCACAGGCATGCTCAGGAAGAGCACTGTGCGAAGGGAGCACTGAAAACAGTAGGATGAGGGGGCAGCCCCCTTCTGCCCTATGTACAAGGCCCACAGCCAATCATATTGAAACCCCATTTTGTTTTGATTCTGAGCACACAAAGCTTCAAGCCTCACACACCCCATTCCTAAGGGACAGGCACACCTCAGACTCTAGGCTTTTTAGGAGGGGAGGGGGATGAGTTCATTCTTTCCCATTGAAGCTGTTGGGCCCTGGATGGCATAATTAAACACTGACAGGGCTGGGCAGAGCAGAGAGAGACAACTCAGGCTTGGTGATTTAGCACTATGAATAGGGAGAGCAAAGAGCTGGTCTCCAGTCCCTGCAATGGTTATTTGATACAGAAATAGCTGGCAGAGGCAGCTGCTCTGCCCAGTTGTGCCCCAGCCCTTGCTCAGTTGTGCACTGCCATGCGTCCTTTCCTTCAGCCTCCTTAGTCTGTCATCACTCACAATTAAAATGGAGCAACTTCAGCATGAGGGAATAAGAGTCCCTGAAACAGCTTATAACTTGCTAGCTAAGAAAGGCTTCCGGAAGCTGCAGGTTTGGGTCCCCCAAGAACCAAAGGGAGCCAAGTCAGGAGAGTGGGTGATGATGAATGAAAGAACTGACATCCCAAGAAGGAAGAAAGGTGCCCCAAACTCAGTTCAGAGCTTTCAAGGAAAACACTTTCCTTGCTTCATTTTTAAAGGAAAGCAGTGACACACCTAGCTCCAAGGGGACAGGCGATAGGACTGTCAGCACTGAACACCTCTTGCTGCAGCCCAAGAGGAGGGTACCAAGGCCAGAGACAGGCTGGGTGGCACCATCCCAGTCAGTTCTCCTCTCATGTACCCTTTCTTGGTTACCCAACACTCTCCTGGCACTCTGGATTTGGATCATTAATATAGCAAAGTGCCTTCTGCCTTTCATGTACTTGGCCATTTCTCCTATCATTATCTTTTCAAGGATATCGGTTAATTCACCAAGTACTCGGTTTCCACAGACTTATGAAAAGCAAACTGACTGACAGGCACTCAGGTTGCTAGGAAGCATTGGACCGAAAAGGGAATTTCATGCTAATAATAAACTAGAGGCAAATTTACTTTTATTTGATCAGAAACAAGCCCCATCATACGGACATTCTGAAGTGCAGTTGACCTAGGTGAGAGAGAGACCCAGGCAACACCTTAGCCTTCCATCGGCCTCGGGGTTTGTGAACTCCAGTTAAATCTCTCCAAAATTTCTCAGGATAATGTAGAGGCAAGGAGCTGAAACAGCACGCCTGTCTATCTCCTTGATTTCATGTTTCCTCCAAATGACTAATTTTCCACTGAAGCGACAAGAAGAGGACTCAGATAGAGATATTTTCTTTCAATGTATAGCGATCTGTGGAAAACAGACTATTTTCAGAAAACAAATGGGAATAATCCTGCAGAGGAACACTTGGGCTACTTCAACACACATACCTGGAAAGAGGCATGAGAGGCTCAAAGTGTGGGGTCCTAGTTAAGAAGAGAGAACCTTTCTGGCAAGCTGTTTCTACTAATGGACATTTGCTGTTGGTGCCTCCCTTGTCTCAAAGCACAATGCTGTTTTGCATAAATCACAGGGTAGGAGACAAACTTCCTTTGAGAGGAAGATATTTCAAATTGGAAGTAAATTTATATATGAATCCCAGAGGAAAGTTTTTAGCTGTTTTGATAGAAGGAACATGGTGTTTGGCACAGGAAAACCATCTCCCAAGTCCTTTTTTTGTTTTGTTTTGTTGGTGCTGTGATGAGAAAGAGCATCCAGGCTTGAGAAGACCACATATTGCAACAGCTTGTAACACAATGAAACTTATTTGTAAAAGTCCAGACGACTGCAATTAGTCAGAGAAGCTCTTTAAAGTCAAAATATGGAATTTAAAAAATTTGCTTTTATTGGTTTTTCATTACTTCAATTGTCCCACAGAAAACTCCAAGCTAACTTTCTGTTTATACTGTTCGTATTGTGGGTTCTTGAAAATAAAGAGACTTTTTCATTAATAAAGTGCCCTCAAGTACCTGATTCTCTAAGTTGTAGGATCAATGAGGACAGATTAAAGAAGAGACCACTTATCTATTTGCAATGGTCTCAAGGCAAGAAACAAAGAAGGCCAGATATATTGAGAGCTATTTTTCCACACTCATTTTCCTCGGGAGCAAAGCCTGCTTAGAGACTCCCTGTTCATCAAACTCATAGAACCACAGAACAGCCCATGTTGGAAGAGACCTCAGAAGATCATCTGGTCCAACCTTCCATGGGAAAGGAAGTCTAGATGAGATCATCTACCCCCATGTCCAATTGCATGTTGAAAACTTCCAGTCACAGGGAGTCATCCATGGGATTTTGTTCCAGTGATGGATTGTTTCTTATGTCGAGATGAAACCTCTCCCAGTGCAACTTGTGCCTGTTGCACCTTATCTTTTCCATGAGGCTCCTTGTGGAGAGAGAGCCTCCATCTTCTTTGCAGCTGCCCTTTAAGTATTGGAATACGTTAATGAGTTCTCCCTGAGCCTTCTCTGCTCCAAGGAGAACACACATAATTCCTTCAGTCTGTCCTCATAAGGCAGGTTCTCCAGTCCTTTGATCACCATTGTGGCCTCTCTTTGGACCTTCTCTCCAGCTTGTCTGCATCTTTTTTGAACTGTGGGGACCAGAACTCGACACTGTACTCTGTTAACTCCTTCAGCTGTTCCTGCTGATAGAGGAGCTGCAAAGTTGAACTGTGTCTAAGCCTTGTTTTATGCTTACTGGGGGTGCCAAAATCTAAAAGCTGATGACCTCACTTCTTCAGTACCTCCTCTCTACTACCCACTGATGAGTGTGCTTACCTAAGATGCGGAGTCTCCGTTACTACCTGGGAAATCAAAACCAATGCTCCCCTCCCCTCATGAGCCCACTCTTTGCAAGGCTACCCTGATACACTCACTTTTTGACAGAATAAAGTAGAAGGACTTTCTTTTGCTCACCAACTTGAGCAGAGCAAGGGGCTGTGTTCCAAACTTTGTTTTACTATGTGTCTAGTAAAATATTTAAAACATATAGAAAGGATGTAAAGAGGTTCCTGCATAAAATTGAAACCATTTAGGAAACAATAGCATGACTCTGCTGCTTGTAAAAGGGGTCCAGCAGCCTAGCAACCAGATTCTCCATCAATGGAAAGACTGTTACACGAGCCGGGCGTTCAGACGTGCTTCCTCCTCATGCCCTGCCCTGACAATTTAATACAGCCCTCTCTCCCATTCCCACAGTCTTTGGCCTCTCCCATGAGACTGCTGACAAAACTCAGCACCCACTAAACGAGGAATTTTTGCCACGGGCCATTTGTCACCTGGGAAATGGGACTGAACTGATCAAACTCATTTCATGTAAGGCATCTAGTAAATCGGAAAAAATTTCAGTTGCATTCAGGATGGGCTGAATGGAGTCAAAGTAATCACTGTCAGCTGAGAGTAAAACCCAACTCACAGTCATTTCCCAGTACATCTCTTAAACTCTTCTCCTGAATTTTATTTGTAAGTAGCCTTCCTGCAAATTCACAGTGTGTCTCTCTCAAAATCAGTTACCAGTAACTATTTCTTTCATAGCTTCATGTTTGTAGGCATCTAAAATACATCTAACTACTTCAGAGCAATCTAAATATTACAAAAGCATGACAACAATCCTGTCAATTAGATGAAAGAAGTTTTGAAAATTCAGGAGCAGGAGTAGCATTTACAAGAAACACAACTATGTAATATTTGAACAATCTGATATTTACAGCTTTTGACTATTTCTTTTCTAGTTATGAAGACACTTCATTATACCTACACAAGTAAAAGCACTAAGTAATAGATATTTAATATTTATGAAGTCATACTTTCTTGCCAGTGATTAATGAAAAAAATAACTATGAAACCATCACTTCTACTTGTGTTGTTGTAACTTGCACTGCACAGAGTTCAGGTTATTTATAGTGCAACAGCTACTCTGTACTGCATCAGAAATTAGATAAGGTCACAGGTTCTCAGTGTAATGTTGTGGTCTTACCAGTGACTGATTTCCTAAATTCCAGTAGGCTTTACAAATGTTTCACCTAAGAGCTAATAAACATCACACTCAAGGCATCCTGAGGGAGATCAGGAGAATGTTCTCACACTGCTTTCTGTGCTATCCAGGACATGCTATGCTTCCATCACAGCAGGAATAGCCTTAATTCTGAAAAGTCAGAGACCTCAGGAAGTGAATATCGCAAGTTTCCATAGTTGCCTTTAATGAAAGAAAGCATCTTTGGGCAGGTGTACTCATCTGTATCTGCAAAACTTTCCTAACACCAGTCCCTCTTTAAAATCAGTAACTTCCCTTTTTTTGTTACCTTAGGAGGAAATTAAAATAATTAAAACAAAAGTGGACTTTCTTATTTTTGTGTCATGATACTATAAATATGAATACAGAAAGTAATAAAAACTAATTCTGCCTGTTGGAATGACACTATTGTTAAAGGCCTGACTCCTCAAACTAGCCGTACCTACTGCTACAAGGACTGGGTAGCAATTTGTCTTCCAGGACACATGTACTTAGTGTACAAGGCATGTTTCAAAGCTGGGAAGTTAGATGCTGTACTGCAATATTGCATCATACAAAGTTTATTTTTAATAAAAATTCAATAAATATTTTCTCTCCTATACCAGATATCTGAAGTAGCCTTGTTTGTATCACTCACTCAGGGATGCTAGCCATGCAAAATGCTGGCTAATGATATAGAATCACAGAATCATAGAATTCCTGAGTTGGAAGGGACCACAGGGATCATCAAGTCCAGCTCCTGGCCCTGCACAGGACAGCCCCAAGAATCATGCCATGTGCCTGAGAAGTCTGTCCAAATGTTTCTTGAACTCTGTCAGACTTGGTGCTCTGACCACTTCTCTGGGGAACCTGTTCCAGTGCCCAACCACCCTCTGGGTGAAGAACCTTTTTCTAATATCCAACCTAAACCTCTCCTGACACAGCTTCATGCCCTTCCCTTGGGTCCTACTGGTTACCAGAGAGAAGAGATCATACCTGCCCCTCTGTTTCCCTCCATGAGGAACTTGTAGACTGCAATGAGGTCTCCCCTCAGTCTCCTCCAAGCTGAACAAACCAAGGGACCTCAGCCACTGTATGGCTTCCCCTCAAGGCCCTTCACCACCTTCATAGCCCTCCTTTGGACACTCTCCAATAGCTTTATATCTTTCTTATATTGTGGCACCAAAACCACATACACAGGACCCAAAGTGAGACTGCACCAGCAACCTGTGTACATAGTTTTTCTTGCAAGGAAGACTCTATGTACAGCAAAGTTTTTTTCTTGCCTTTCATCTTAGCTTAATTTCCTAATACTTGAAACTGTGGAGTTCACTTGCTTGAATTTCTTTTAACATTTCTATACTCAAGTCTATGTACATGATGTACTCTGAAGGTAAAGAGATTACTTCACTGATGAAAAGTGATCATTGTTGATCATTGATTTTGTAGAAAAGTTAAGTGAAATATATCCAGAAATACAAGTGATCCCTCATGACCCTGAGGAAATGAAACAGAACTGTCCTGTCTTCTCCACACTGTGCAGAACTTTCTGGCCTTGTATGAAGCCTTTGGAGCTATACAGCATATTTCATTTTATTGTGCGTTATTTTACAGTGATAACACAGAAAGTCCTTCTAAAATCAATACTGGAGAAGAGGCACATGATAGAGCAGCTCATCTACTGCACAAACATTCTGAAGTGGTTCCAGAAGAATTACATCAGAAATTAATTTGGGCTCTTATGTTTAAAGAAGTCCCCATTAAAGATTGCAGAGCTGAGGAGAAGCAGCACTGAGCAATGTATTACTTCTTACAGCAAGCTTCGAAACAGATCAAATGAGCACTAGAAGACATCTGTCTGTTATTTCCTGCCCACACAGCTTTGTTCTACTCTATTGCCAGAGCACTCCATGGATGATGTCACTTTTTTTTCTGAAGAAAACAGGCCACCAGAGCCTTTCACTGACATAATTAATTATCTGTAGTCTGGGCCACAGCCAGCAAAATTCCCATAACAAGGCCCCGAGAAGTATTAACTCCACACTGCATGATGTTTTCAGAATTATTAGGTTCTGGGATACCCTGTCTTGTCTTTTCACACTGAAAGAGTGCTTTGCTTGATATTATCAAACCATGGGACAATTACTGCAGCATAAGAATTACAGTGTCACGATCCAGTCAGCACAGAGAGATCACTGCCAGGGGTCTCTGTCAGTTATGTGCACAAGTCTGCATATTGGGATATACTCTACATGCCTCAGCAATACATCATAAGTTCAAACCCACTGTTTTGGGTTTGCTGTATCCAGTCATGTAGTTTTCGTCTCAGCCAACACTAACTGTATAACAACATTTTTCACATGACCAGAAGCCCAAGCAGCAAGCAGAATCCACAGATTGATCCAACTAGCCATCAAGGAGAGGAAGGAACATCTGTTAAAACACTTTTTCAGACACCTGAGCAGGAAGAATAATTGACAACAGCACATGACTTACCATGTTTGAGTTCAGGACTGCTATGTGGCTGTGTGATACAGTGTGCATGCCAACAAGTGAAGTGGTTAAAAAAAGCAATCATAGGTGTTTGCTCTGACCAGCACTAGTCACCACAATGCTTGCGGAGGCAGAGGAGAGTTCCCTAGTTCATGTGCTCCAAATCACACATGACAGTCCCTATTCTGGTTTATTCATGCTATGAAATGATCTGAAGCTTTCCATATCCCAGACAAATGGCCCATCACAAGCTACTGTAGCAGTATAAGGAATTCATTAAAACTGCAGCACGTTTCCCACACATTGAGTGGTTTTATATAGTTGGAGTCATGTAGTAAGTTGCCATGTTCCTTTTGTAACCACAACTTTTTTGTGATCAGTTAGCATCTCTTAAAGAAAAAAAAAAGGTGATTAATGAAAGGGTAACAACAGAAAAAGCATTTCTTCTCTTATCACCTGGCCCTTAGTTTTATCTTAGCCAGTCTGGACCAAGACACAAGAGAACCATGGATCATGAACCTCTTTCTCATGCTTCACATATAAAATTAACCTCACCATGCACCAAGTTCCATTCCATACATGAAATAATACTTTTCAGGAGTGCTGTAAGATTTAATTCATAAGCATATAGAAGATCTAGGTACCCTATGAGTGCTACGAAAAATATGGCACTCTGATATCAATATAGTTTTTCTCCTATTAATTTTCCCCATTCATTATATTCTTTTATTTCCTCCATGTTTATGTACTTCTATATGTCATCCAAGTCATTGAAATCCATTGGAAACTAAAAAAATAAAAAGTATAAAGAAACTAAAAAAAAGTATCTTCATTAGACGTGTCACTAACTTGTCTAAATTGCTCTTTGAAGTGCTACATTGACTGTATAAGGAACTGAAGCATCTGAAATTAGGTGCTCTGACCTGAATTTCAGCGATGCACTTGCAGCTGATGGCATGAGTACCCCCTGTGCAAGAGAAACAAATCTGCCCAGGCATTTTTTTTTCTGCCTTGATCTTGCTGCCTTCTGGCAGGAATGAGCACATGAAGAGCAGGATGGAGCAAGACAAGCTGGTGCCAGCAAGGCTGTAGCCACCAGGATGATGAAGTTCAGAAGCAATCCCTCTACCTCCTCCATGTAGACAGAAGCATGTGGGATACTAACAGATGTAACTGTGTGTACATGTGTAATAAATTCTATACACAACTTTCTCTTGTCCAAGCATTTTGTTGGCTTCAACAAGCTGTTTTTCAGTACTCTGTGCTAGACAATGTGCATTCAAGTTATTGATGACTGATGAACGGGCAAGAAGAGTAGGACTGCACTACAGCAAGCCCTCACCAGCATAGCCAATAATTTCAACAGATGAGTTGCCAGAGGAAATGAGGAAAGTGGCACAAACTCTTAGGGTGAAGTGACTAGAGAGGGTGGACAATGAAAGGTGCAGAGCAAGAGCTCCCAGCCATGCCCACAAAGCCCTCACAGCCTCCTGTCATCTCCAAAATCCCCCTGATCCTCCCCAATGCCTGTCCTCCCCTTTGCCCTCCCCAGGCCCCACTTGGACTTCCTTTCCCCTCTCCATGCTCCCATTGCATTACTAGGAATGACTCTGAAGCCCTTCAAAATGCCATTTACCTGAACTGCTGAGACTGTCTGAGCCACTACTGGGGAAATGGGCTTCCATTACGAAGCTGATTAGATCAACATTTCTGTTTCTGATTTGTTTAAACTTGAAGGTGGCAAATGCCTGGAAATTACCATGCAACTGTATTTGACTTAGTCAGTTCCATTCATTTTGCTGGCATGGAAGACTTGATGATAATTTTTTTTGCAAAGAAAACTAATAATTTCCAGGATAAGAAAGACGTCACTTGCAAAATCCAAACTCTTCCTGTCTTAGGAAAAGGACTTCCCTTCATAGTGTCTCAGTAGTACATCATTTTGCATGCCACATCTGCACCGAAATAAGTCACTAAGTTCACTTTATTTTGGATATCATGCAAAATTCTACGCTGAAGCCAGAAATTTCGTAAGATGTGGCAAGACACAGGATGTTCAGTAGGACCAGCAGTTTTCTAATGTTACATTTCTCTCATTTTAGTCAACCAATAGGTGGAGCCTTTAACCCTAGAAACAAGACACTTTCTCAGATAGCCATATTCTCATAATTATTATGTAAAGACTTGTATTTGCTTTTATTAAAGCTTATTTTGGATGAAAAATAATTTGCTTTGCTCTCAAGAGCTTATCTGATCCTCAGCTGCAGGAGGAGACAAAAACTTAATAAATACACAAATGGAGCAGCAAAGTTAATAAAAACAGACTCATCTACAACTACAATGTTAAATTAACAACTGGTGAGTCACAGTACTGGACAGCATTATGATACATAAGACACATGCTCATTGCAAGATCTCCCAAGAATCCCAGATATTTTAAAGCCAGAGTCCACACATTTAACATTGATTGCAAAAGGGTTGGCCATTTCCTCTCCCACAGAGTGAACCTTCTCTCAAGAAAAATGAGAAAAGATACAAGCTTCCTCATTACTGTTGCACTGAGTATACAATTTCTATTAAGTGGGAAAAAAAATGTCAAATGACATC